TCCAAGGAACACTATGGCTGCTTCTTTCTCCAAGACATATCTGTTTTATTCTTTTAACATAGCATGGAATATTTAACTTTCTCCAGCACCACAACGCAAAGACATTGATTTTTATTTTGCCATCCAGTTTTATTGTCCAACTCTCAAATGTAACTTTAAAAAACCAAAAACCCTTAATTAGGCATACCTTAGTTTTTAGACTGGCTTCATTGCTCTTTAGTGTTTTGGAGATGTCCTTGACAGCACTTTCCCTAGGCATTATGTCTCCTGATCTCCTGCCTACTGATACTAAGGCTGTTTATTTTGGATCCGAGTAAGATGAAATCATAGACAATCTCATTTCTTTTCTCCATTTATCATGATGCTGCCTATTGGCCTAGTGGTGAGAACTTTTGTCTTCTTGATGTTGAAATGTAATCCATATCGAAATCTGTAGTCTTTGATCTCTTCTGGCAAACTTCTCATGTCCTCTTCACTTTCAGCAAGCAAAGTTGTATTGTCTGCATAACACAGGTTGTTGATAAGCCTTCCACCAATCTTGATGTCACATTCCTCTTCATAAAGTCCAGCTTCTCTCATTACTTGCTCAGCATACAGATTGAATAGATATGGAGAAAGCATATAGCCCTGACAAACCCCTTTTGTAATTTTAAACCATGTAGTGGTTCCCTGCTATGTTTGGACGATAGCCTCTTGCTCTAGATATATTGTTGTTGTTATGTGCTATCATGTCATCTGTGATTCATAGCACCTTTATGTACAACAGCCCTAAACCCTGCTCTACCCCTTGCCAATTTTATTGCCTCTCACACACCTATTTCAATGACCCAAGAGATTCAATCAATCCATCTCATCGAGGGTCTTCTGCTCCTGCGCTGTCCCTCCACCCTCCCAAACATGATGTCCCTTTCCAACAACTGATCCTGCCTTGCAACATGTCCAAAGTATGTCAGACAAAGCTTCAGAATCCTTGCCTCCAAGTGTAGGAAGCCATCCTGAGTAGATCTTAACTCTGCCACTGATAACACTTTTGACATGCTGCCACCACCCCTGTCCATCTCTGGGATTATGCCTACCTCTTAAATCAGCACCTGTAAATCAACACCTTGGGGCATGCCCCTCCCTCTCTTTTGTGAACTGATAACCTAGGGCTGGGTTCCCCGGCATCCCGGCCTACTCCACTGCAGAATTCATCAAATAAATTTGGGGCTTGATCAGAAATCTTTGTCTAGCCCCTATCTCTAGTGTCCCTGTTCGTCTTTTAATCCACACAGGTTCCACTCTAGAACACGTATGAACCCACAGGTCGGTTTCAGATGGCAGTTTCACCAAGGAGCAGCCTGGCTTCACCCTCTCCAGGATGAACTTGTTTGTTCTCCTAGCAGTCTATGATATATTCAATACTCTTCTCCAGCACCACAGCTGAAAGTCATCAACTCTCCTATCATCCCTAATCATTGTCCAGCTCTCTAATGGTATAGGTTTCATATAAGTATAATTAAATGTCTGGCATTCCTATTGTTGTTGTTATGTGCCATCAAGTCACCTGTGACTCATAGCAATCCTGTGCACAACAGTACTAAAGCCTGTCCTATTCTAAGTCAGTCTTACTCTGACACACCTACCCCATTACCCTAATCACTGTATTAACCCATCTCATCCTGGGTCTTCCTCTCCTGCACCATCCCTCTACCCTTCCAAACATGATGCCCCTTTCCAATGATTGGTCATTCCTGCCCATATGCCCAATGTATGTGAGATGGAGCTTCAGCATCCTAGCCTCCAATGAGAAATTTGGTTTCCCCCTCTCCACGATGCACTTATTTGTTTTCTTTCAGGTTCATGATATGTTCAAGACTCTTCTCCAGCACCACAACTCAAAGGTTTTGATTCTTCTTCTATCATCCTTAGTGACCAGATCTCTGATGCATCACAAGTAATAGAGAAGACCATGGCCTGGATCAGGCAAACTTTAGTTTCTAGACTGACATTGGTGTTCTTCAGTACTCTGGAAAGGTCCCTTACCGCAGATTTCCCCAGTGTAACTAATCTTTTGATTTCCTGACTGCTAGTATCAAGAGTTTTGATTGTGGAGCAGAGCAAGCTGTAATTGTTAACAACCTCAATCTTTTCTCCATCCATCATGGTGCTGCCACTTGGCCCAGTGGTGAGAATCTTTATTGTCTTGCTGTGGAGCTTCAGACTACAATCCTTGACCTTCTGCAGCAAGAGCTTCAGGTCCTCCTTAGTTTCAGTAAGCAAAGTTGTGTCATTTGCATAATGTAGGTTGTTGGTGACTCTTGCTCCAATCCTGATGCCACATTGCTCCTCTTAAAGCCCAGTCTCTTGAATGATCTATTCTGCATATAAATTGAAAACGTATGGAGATATGATGTATCCCTGATGCACTCCTTTCCTGATTAGGACTATGCAAATATGAGGCACTTATGGCTACCAAAGGGCTAGATAGCTTGCTAACAATATAAACAATATATAGCTAGTGTTGTGGAGATTAATGCATTCAAAAGAGAAATACAAAACACTAATGAGGTATTAGTTCTGATAGCATGCTAGGTTAAAATAAACTATCCCAGGGAGAGAAATAGGACCTCATTACTATCAGAAAAGAAGAGTCAGAATTGGAGCTCATCCATTGAACCCGAGATACCTGAGTTGAACCTCATTTATTCAAGGGGTAGAGAGTCATGATGTTAAAGATGGCAAGAGATACCAGGAAGCAGTATTGGAGGCAAGAAAATGAAGAAATCAGAATGCTACAGAGAATTGGGCCTTAAAGTCTATGGAATGAGAAAAATTAATGCCTTAAGACATGAGTCTTATTGATAGAGTTAGGTGCCTCAGGTACTTAATTTGGCGGAGCTAAAAAAGCTTTATAGCATTCGTTTAAGAAAGGCTAAGGTCTAGGGTCTACGAAGTCAAATACATGGTTGAGGAGTGATTGTCTACCCAAACGTAGAGTGGCCACATGATGATGGAAGAATTGTATCTTGAGCTTTCTTGAACCTAAACTACGACTTGGTATTTCTGTAATAAACCTCATAATTATAAATATTGTCTGTGAGTTCTGTGTTGCAGTTGCAACAAATTACTGAACCCAGCAGAGAAGTAGACCATGCTGTAAGAAGTATGGCTGGTATCATAATTGGTAAAAACATTGGAGAGTATAGACATATGTCTCATTGGAATTAGACTGCTTATTCTTCCTCTCCCTTGAAAATATAAAGGAGGTCAGGTGATTCTCCTATACTATTTGTGCAAGTGCTGAAGTTGAGGACATAGGTTGGAAGATACTTAAAAAAAAACCATGATGATCTTAGCAATGAACATAAACAGACGAATGATGATGAAGATATGTACAACCAGCAACATTTTGTTCTGTTGTTTATGAGGTCATCATAAGTCAGGGCCGACTTGATAGCAATTAATAATAACACCCAAAGTGACTAAACTTCCACCACCTCCACTCTCAAGTCATAGTGAAATTTTCTAGGTATGAAAAAGTAAAATGATTTTCTTTTTTCCATGTGTTACCTCTCCCCTTAGTCAAGTGAAATGGGACACCCTTGTAAATTGTTTCTGTAGGATCTCTTGAAATAGTAAGTGTAATTCCCTAAAGGTACAGTGACCACAGGATAAGGTTTGATCTAGGCAGACCCAGTTTATACATGCTGTGCAAGTATAACTATAAATAGCATGACATCTCCTCCTAAAAGTATCTAACTTTGGATAATAAATTATATGAACTCTCAACAGAAAGAAAAATAAGGAATTGTTGTTACCCAGGAAGAAGGAAGTTGTATTGAATGGATGCAAATAGTTTGAATTACAATGAGAATATTAGGAGTCAAAACAAAACAAAACAAAACAAATCTGTCCCAGTTTCCTAAATTGAAAGACAAGAATCTAAGTTAGAAGCTTTTAGAAGTCTCTTTTGACTCATCATGAGAATACTTACTGCCTATTACTGAATTATTATGACTTTGACCAAAAAAGCTTCAGTCCCTTGTCTTCCTAAGTCCTTGTAGCTAAATCCCTAAATGTTAGCGTATTTTCTTTTGTGCTACTTTTTAGCTTAATTGGTGCCCTCCTGCTTTCCAAAATAGAATGTCACCATCCATTCAACTCAGCTGGAGGGTCAGGGTGATACCAGATCCGATATTCCCCAAAGCATGTGTAGGCAGGTTGCTGTGTCCCTGGCTGCTAGCTAATAATAAGGGAGTCAAAAAAGCATCTTTTGATTCTGATTTCCTCTGAGAGACTGTTCTACAAGTATGGGGTCAACTTAAAGAAAGAAGGTTTTTGTTTAATATTTTCTCCTTTTGTTAGTGCACTTAAATTACTTTCTTGTAAACTCTGCTTTTTACCTAAATGTACTAGCACTTTTTGTTACCTAATTAACTTTCTTATCAGAATTCCAACCAAAAATAACAGGAAATGTAATAATGATAAGGTGTCCTGCCCCCTTAAAAACAGATTTTCTTTCACGCTTTATCTCTTGGTGATGTTCTGGCTTGTTTAATTAAAGTATCAAAAATTATTAGACTCAAATTATTTCTTATTCTAGTGCTCAAATTCTCCTGAAAAAAGGGCTCCTTCTGCTTAGGTACTTAAACCTTTATCAGCATAAGGCAGATGAGTTTCCCTACATATGCAACAGGATTCATGTAATTCAATATCATCTTTGAAGAAAAAGCCCAACTTAGCTCTTAAGTAATTAAACAAACAAATCAAATTTGGCTACTCTTGGCTATCATGGACATTTAAACACTTATGGTCCCCCCCCCTGTGTTCTTGGATTATCAAAATGAACAACATTAATATGCCAAAAAAAAAAAAACCCAACCAAACCCCTTACAAAATTTTAGCATGGTGCTATGAAATTCAAAGCAAAGATCTCATTTTTTTTTCATTAGAGTAGCAGAAGTAAATATCACCAAGTTAAAACTACAAATACAAGCTGTATTCAAGAGAAAGTAGCAATGCCTGTTACAGACTATAAAATGACTGATGAGAAGGGACCCTTAAATTACAGCACTGAGAAGAAGAAAACTCTAAGAGATGTTGGTCTTTTCTCCTCAACATGCTTAGTGAAAAAAAATCGGGTGATACTCTATTTGCTTCTGGTGGAGCTATGTGAGAGATTCACTTTCTTTGAAGTTGTCAGCAATATGATTCCCTTTTGCACTATCAAGCTTGGCTATCGAAATCACCAGGCTGCCATTTTGAATTTATGTTTTATTGGAACTTCACTACTCACTCCTGTGTTTGCAGGATGGCTTGCTGATGTCTGTTTCAGAAGAAATAGGCTGATCTGTATCTGCTTATTCCTACACTTTCTAGGTGAGTGTCTTCTATGATTAAATTTCTTGCAAGTTAATAAAATAGTTTTCATTAAAATTTTAATTTTTATTTTTTCTATCTTACTGTGTGGGTAAAATGTGGTAAATGAAATAAGTATGTTATTTCATCCTCTGTATCACTTAAAGTTATTACCTCATAAACATGTATATGCTAGATGATGCTTTTTCTATGTCTTATAATAATTATTTCTTTGCAAGTCTATCTTCTGTACATTTGCAATGCTCTCATCTCCCCTCTTCCTACTTGAACCTCAAATTCATGACAAATGCTATGTGAAATATGAAATTTCATTATTTCACAAGTGTGATGAAATGTGCTAAAAAGGTTTTTGAAGTTCATGTAGAATAAATAAGAATTAAGGTGGTCTTTTAATTAGTCATAGAGTAATTAAGATTGCATATGAAGACATGATGTCTGTATTATAAATTATGGCTATATGCTAAAAAAAATAAATGAGCTCAAGCACAACCCTGTGTTGCTTTATATAGAGAAAATAAATATATCTGCAAAAGTTTGGGAATGAGGTGATAATGAGAAATCATGTTGCAGAAATAGCAAGATAGTTGTATAAAGCATAGAGAATCCGTTGATCAACAGTCTAGAATTTAAGACTGTAAAATTCAGAATGTTCTTTAGGCAGCATGATGATAAGGAGGAAACAAAGAAAAATGTAGTTTTTGTTTATTTTGTTATGTTAGTTTTCTTTGGGGTTTTATTTCTTTCAAGTAGAAAGATAGGCAACCTCAAGGAGAGAGTAAATATATATATAGAGAGAGACTAAGATATGTCCAGATTATATCTTTGGCAGTGAAGAAGTGTCAATCCAAGAGAGTCCATGTGAAAAAGCATTCAATTTGATGATTAAATAAGGGTACAAATACAATGATGGAATAAAAACTAGCTCCAAGATTTGTGGGCTAAACAACTTAAGTGTTAGGGTTCTGCCCACCAGTTCTGAGAAGTGTAACTTAATTGCATATGTAGGGCAGAATGCTGCAGGAATGGACCCTAGGAAATCCACACAGTTGCAAGCAGTTGGTGAATTACCATTAGAGTATGGAGCAAACTTAAATGACAGAAGAATCAATGCTTTTGAGTTGCCGTGTTGAAGAAGAGTACTGAATATTCCCCAGACACCCAAAAGAACAAATATGTCCTGGGGAAGGTGCAGTGAGCATCGTCCTTAGAGGCAAGGCTGGTGAAGCTTTGTCTTACATATTTTGGGCATATTGTTAGAAGGGATCAGTCCATAGAAAAGGATACCAGGCTTGTCATGGTAGAGGCTTAGTGAAAGAGAAGAAGACCTTCAGTAAAATGGATTGACATAGTAGCAATGAGCTCAAGAATATCAGAGATAATGAAGATGGCACAGGATAGGGTAGAGTTCAGGTCCATTGTTAAGAAGATTGCTATGAGTTATCATTGACCTCACAGCACTAACAACATGAATAAAAGTACTGTGACCTAAAATACTGTGACCCTATGAATGAAAGGCCTGAGAACTGTTCGCACATAGAATTTCCGGGGCAAACCATTTCGGAAGTGGATGCCGCTCCTGCTTCCAGGCTTGTTTTAGTTGGGAAGCTCCAGCAAACACTGTCCACTATGGGTAACCATCACCACATTTGGCACATCAGTGTCCCAGTGTTCAGCATCACAGCAACCACGAGTTACCTCTGTACAGCAATGCACAGACCAGACACCCATATTAGAAAGCATTAAACCCAATGTTTGCACTGAAGGAGCATGTAATTTATGTGGGAAAACAAACTATATGAAACAACTATATACAAATAAAAAAATAACGCTAAATTAATAAAATGCAGGGTAAAATAATAGTGTTTTTATTCATTTATTAAAAATATTTTATTAAAATAAAAATTATTAAAAAGTAAGTGATGGTAACAAATATACCAAAGACCTTTTGGTAAAATGATGATTTGTTGATGTTATGAGTCATCAAGTTGCCTGCAACTCGTGGCAACCCTAAGTACAACAGCTCTAAATCCTGCCCTGTCCTGAGCCAGTCTCACTAACTCCAACACATCTGTCCCCCTTGTTCCAGTTACTATGTCAATCCATCTCATCCAGGTCTTGCTCACTTGCACTGTCCCTTCACCCTTCCCAACAGGATGTCCTTCTCCAAGCATGGTGGGAGTTTTAATTTTATTTCTAAAAATTCTCCAAATCTGCCACCAAGTCTGCTCAATTTAGTGGAAAGACTAGCCAGTCCTCTTGTGGATAGGATAACATGTCCTATTTGCTTATTCCCACCCATCCACCTGGCAAAGGTAAAATCATTGCCTAGGGAAGCCATTTTGAACAACAAAGCCTTACTACCATATCAATGCATTTTGATTCACACTTGATCAATTTCATGTTTTAAAAGTTGGTTAAGAATCTTCAATTCTTCATCTCTCTGCTTAGTGGTTGATTCATAAGTTTGAATCATAATTATATAAATGTGTTTTTGTTGTTGTTGATTGCCTTCGAGTTGAGCATGACTCATAGGACCCTATGAACAAAAGGTCTGAAGCTTTTCTGTATAACTATCAACATTTATTAAAGTTCATAGAGTTTCAGGTCTTCCTTATATTGGTATAGATTTTGTTGTGTCATTGACTGCATTACTTCAGGATGTTGTTGTTGTTACGTGCCGTTGAGTCACTTGAGACTCATAGCAATAGTATGTACAACAGCTCTACATCCTGCTCTATCCTGAGCAATCCTTACTGTCTCTGATATACCTACCCCTATTACTCCAGTCACTAAGCCAATCCATTTCATCCAGAGTCTTCCCCTCTAGCACCATACTCCCACCCTTCCAAGTATAATGTCTCTCTCCAAGGACTGGTCCCTCCTTGCAATATGTTCAAAGTATGTCAGACAGAGCTTCAGAATACTTGCCCCCAAGGAGCAGCCTGATTTCAACCTCTCTAGGATAAACCTGTTTGTTCTCCTAGCATTCCATGGTGTACTAAATACTCTTCTCCACCACAGCTCAAAGGCATCAATTTTCCTTCTGTAATCCCTAGTAATTATCCAGCTTTTTGATGTATAGTGTGTAATTGTGAAGACCATGGCCTGAAACAGGCACATCTTGGTCTCCAGACTGACATTGCTGTTCTTCAGTGTTCTGGAGATGTCCCTGACAGCAGACTTTCCCAATGCAATTTGTCTTTTGATTACCTGGCTTCTGGTACCAAGAGTGTTGATTGTGGAGCCAAGCAAACTAAAGCTGTTAACAATCTTTATCTCAACACCATCTATCATGATGCTGCTATATCTTGAAGTATTCTTTTTGACAATGAATATGACACTTTTCCTTTTCAATTTGTCATTCTTGGCCTAGAATAGATTGCTGGACCCAAAATGGTAGATACTAATTCATTTTTGTTCACTAATTCTTTGTAATCTTTAAGTTGCCACTTCATTATTTAAACTTTCCATTTCCCTGCATTTATACTTAGTGAATTTCCTGTTCTAATTATTAATGGATATTTGCAACTGTTTCTTCTCATTTTGATCCATGTCATACCAGCCAGGGAATGTCTTAAAAGCTTCCTCACTCTTTCATTAAAGTAGGCTCTACGTTGAGGAGGTATTTTGTTGCCTGGTCTTATTTTGTTTTCAAATGTAAAGGGCTCATTTGTAAGATAATGTTCTGTTTTATTTAGAAGGTTTTCAACAACTAAATGTCAAATATGACCATTAATATACTCTGTCATTACTTTGTGAAGAAATGACGAATAAATATAATAAATGTTGGGAAAATAATGATTCTAAAATAACTAGTGATGATCAGATAAAATCTAACATTGTTGGAAAGAGTTCATTTGACTCTACTAATTTGTGCTTGGGGAGACAAAGGGTGCCATATTATCTAGAACTCCAGCAAAATCATCAGCTTTTGCTTTGTGTTTGTCTTCCAAAAGGAGAGGAGTCAAGGATAGGTCCAAAAGAAAAGAGGGATAAAAAATGCAAAGAGGAAAGTTGGGAGATAAACTGTTCTAAGAACCAATTCTACATCTCATCTTTTTCAAATGATCACTTTAATTTGATTCTCCTAATAAAAAGTCACTCATCCTACTATCATTACTTTAAATTATTCTCTCTAATGTCACAATGAGAAAATATCTATATTCGTGGTTTTATGACACTATATTCCTTTAGTTTGTGTAGTATATAATGATACAGAGAGCTCTGGTGGCCTGGTGGTAAGAATTTGTACTGCAGTCTCAAAGGCACATGGTTCAAATCCACCAGCCACTCCATGGGAGAAAGATGGACAATCTCTTCCCACGTGAATATTCTCTCTGAAAGCCCATTGGAGGATCAGATATGGGCCAGTTTTGATTCAATGGTATACAACAACAACAATGCCTAATCATACATAAGGAACATACTGGCTGGACTTTATCTAAGACAAATTTGTTCTTCTAGCAGTCCATGGTATGTTCAATATTCTTCAACAACAACATAATTCAAAGGCATTGATTCTTCTTTAGTCTTTCTTTTTAGTTGTCCAGCTTTCACAAGCATATGAAGCAATTGAAAATACCAAGGCTTGGATCAGGCACAGCTTAGTTCTCAAAGTGATGTATTTGATTTTCAAAACTATAAAGACACTTTTTGCAGAAAATATGCCCAATGCAATACATCATAGAATTTCTTGATTTATGCTTCTATACACATTGACTATGGATCCACGTAAAATGAAATAATTAACAACTTGAATCTTTTCTTCTTTAGTCATGACATGACTTATCACTTGTTATGAGGATTTTTGTTTCCTTTATGTTCATTTTGAAGTCATACTGAAGGTTTTGATCTTCATCAGTAAGTGTTTCAAATCCTCTTTTCTTGTAGCAAGCAAGATTGTGTTATCTATTACAGATTGTTAATGCATACATTTGTTGAAACATTTCTTGTTTTTGGCTAGTGCTTTCAATGTAACTTACACTTCTTCCTTAAATGTCATAAGTCTTTGACCATAAACTACTCCTAAAGTATTTGGATGTGATTCTGTTCTCTCTGGTGAGATGAAGTGGCTCTCTATTCCTTTCATGTTCTTTTGATGTTTTTTGTGCTAATCAGTATTTTGCCCACAGAAAGCTTCAGTATCATGACTTGAGGCTTGACATTTTGTCTTCAGCTCTTTCCGTTTGAATAATGAGTGTGTTCTTCTCATCGGATGTCCTAACTCCAGGTTCTTTTGACAATATTTCACTTTGTCTTTTTCAACCTTTATTTAAAATATTTTGTTCAAGTCCTTTACTCCATAATTTTTCCCACTGACTTTAGCTACTCTACATTCAAGAGCAAGTTTCAAAATCTGTTCTGACATCCATGTTGATCTTTTCTTTCTTTTCTCCCCCTCTAAAGGATTTTTTAACTTTCTTTATGTATAATATCTTCAGTATCAACCCACAATTGGTCTGATATTCAGTCATTAGTATGCATCAAATCTATTGTTGAGATAGTCTCTAAATGCAGGTAAAGTATACTAAAAATCATATTTAAGAAAGATAATATTGTGGTCTGGTGGCAAGAAGCTGACTATACTGTCAAAGGCATGTGGTTTGAGGCCACCAGCTGCTCAGCAGGAGAAGGATCGGCAATCTCCCATGCGATTAACTGCTTCTGAAAACCCACCTGAGAGTTAGCTCTTTAATATTAGATATTAAAAACTGGTTATATAATTTTCTCCTGGACACAGAGCCTACTATTTGGTCCTAAAAGCCTTCTGAGGTCCCAACTCCTCTCACTATTTCTTAGTTGTTGGAATGGACGGAAAACCTCATAAGCAGTTCCTTACTTCACCTCTACCTTACATGCGAACCCAGTGGTAGATGGAATTTTCTCCAGGACTTAAGAACCATAAATTACATAGCTGAGCCTCTACATCTTGTGGTTCCTAACCTCTACACTATAATAGACAAAGTGCTAGTCTATAGGCCTTTTATTGTAAGAACCACCTTCCCTCTGTAACTTGATTTGTGCCACTATTAGAACCTCTACTCAGAATACTATTGCTTTTTTAATCTTTGACTCATGTACTTTTAACTTGTTAGTTACATTTGTGTCTTCTAGGCTGCAAAACTTCCATGATACATCTTCAAGGATATGAACATTTACAGCTAAGCACAATTGATAACAGTGCATCTAAATTCCAAAATCAATCTCCATAATAGTCTATGTGTTTCCTACTGCCAAAGGGGCCCTTTAGAGTAATGAGAGAAGATCTTCACCCTGAAACCTACAGCGTCCCTTATCAGCAGGAAGTAGCTAAAAGAATACGCCATCCCCTTTTCCTTATTAATCAGGGTGAAGTCTCTCTCACGGAGGAGCGATAGGGAATGGCAAAGGACACACTGACAAAGGAGATTAATCAGAACTGGCTTTGACAAGCACTGTGGCAA